CAAGAAATTTGTAATGTTTTGAACAACCAACAATAAAAAATTAAAAATAAATAAATAAATATTAAAAAAAAAAAGTGAATGGAAACCCACCTTCATTTGGACTCTGCTTTTGGGTATCTAGGTCACAGAGCCTTAGGCAGTGGGAGGGTCTGAGGTGTGACAGGTGCGCAGCCAGACGCAGTGAGTGTGCTGCCCAGGATTTCCTGTCTTACCTTGTCTGTAATGAAGCCAGCACCATAACCTACCTCTGGTGTAGCAGCCACATATCTGAGTGTGCATCAGCAGAGCTGAACTACCTGAATATTGATGTTCTTTTTCCCATGACCTGAGGATTAAAATTTTAAATACAAGATGGAGATGGAAAGTGAGAGTAGTACCTCAGGAGATGACAGTGTCTTTTGGTTGGATTCTGAAGTTATAACTCAACTGACAGATGGCGAAGAAGGAGAAAGGGAAGAGATTTTCAGGTAATTAGAAATTTGTTTTTCTCACTCTCTTGTTTTCATTGTTTGTCCCTCTGCCTGCCCCCCTCTTATCCATCTTCTGCATTTTAGTCTGTTTTTCAGTAAGACTTTGGCTTGGGGTGACGGGGACAGGTTTCAAGTTGTATCTAGCATTCCTCATTCCATAACTTGCCCTGAGCTTGTAAAATGCATTTTCAATGACTTGTTAGAACACCAGGAAGAGAAGGTGTTAGACAGGTTTTGTAGTAGCATTTCAGGAATTTCAAGTAGAGACTCATAATGAACTACTACCCTTTCCTATGTCTGATTTGTATCTAATACATTTGATCTGAATTTGTATCTAATAGACTTTTCATCAACTTTTTCTTAGAGTGTGTTCCTGTGTGTATGTGTGTGTGTCTGCCTGCTGGAGGTTGTTGTCTTTTGTGTATATGTGAAACATTTTGATTAAGTAAAATTTGGTTTTTATGGTTTTGATCCTTACTCCTTTCTCTGACCTGATATCTTACTCCCTTATTACTCTACTCCCAAGTCTTTCTGTATTTTTTTTAAACTCTCTTGTAGTAATTTACAATTAAAGTTTTCAAGTATACCTCCTGAGTAAGCAGCCCTCAGAGTTTAGTGGCATTGTTTAGCAAAGAGGTCTTACCATCTTATAGAAACAGTGCCAGTTTATTATTTCTGTTGTACTATTACAGTATTTAGGAGGCAATATTTTTGCTCTTCTTTTTCATACTTGATGCTTTCGGAGGCATTAAAAAAATCTCTGGATGAAATTTAAAGTTTGTGCTACATATTATCACTGCCACCCAAGTGGGCAATTAAAAATCTTTTACAATTTTATGATGACTGCTTGGGGTATGATTTTCATCACATATTGTCTTTATGTTTATTGTTCAAAAAGAGTCTCATGTTCAAGGATTACTTAATCCAGAGTTTATCTTTTAAAGTCTGTTTTTAATGATAGGATGGATTAAATATTAGGACCTCTTGGTAACCACATTGCATTTGTTAATTAAGGGTTAAAATAAACGAGAAGTCTATTTAAAAATTTAAAAGAATAAATTAATGTTCAAAGTATGAAAGTGAATTGTTTCATTAGCACATTTTTTGTCTCAGTGTTCTTATTCTCCCATAATTTCATTAAACCTTTCATATTTGATCAAATCTTGAATCTTCCAAGATGTTCTGATGTTACACATGATCCTCATTTTTAATATGGTCTCTCACTAGCAGTATTTGTTTGTTTTATTTGTATTGAAACTGTTTAACCTGATTTGTTTAAGTTATTTTGGGATATTTGTCAAAGGAAAAAACAACTTGGAACTTAATTTTATTGCTGCTTTACAACAGATTTGGTACTGTAATGCTAGATTTATTTGTGAAGCACCTTCAGTCTCTTTGGGATTTTCTTTTGACACTTAAAAGCAAATCTGTGTAAGATTGAGTTTGTCTTTTCCTGGGGAATATGTAACAGCATATTCATTCTGAGAAACTGAGCTAGCATTTGCATTGTTTTAGGGAAATTATGATACCACAGGAATTTCTATTTTGTTTACAATTATATTTCCTACCACCATAACTCTCCCAAACCGAATATGTCTTTGAGATTTGATCTTATTTTATGTACAAATGCCAGAAAGAGATGTGGGTAAAGCCTGATTTCATGCAGTGTTTCTCACCTATTCAGCAGTAAGGCACGAGGAAATGTGGCTGCAGAGGGCTTTCACAACATCTACAGTAGGTCCTGTAGAAATGCACAACAGAAAAAATGCACGTGGGTGTAGAGGGTGAAGAGTTGGATAGGAGGAGCTGCATTTGTAACTTGGGAAAACTAAATAGTAAACTTTGTGTTGTATGTGAGTTGTTTTTATAAAATTATTTTAATTAAAAGATATATAACAGAATTTTAATGTGTCTTTAAAATTTGTGCTAGTTACCTATTAATTCAAACTGTTATGTTGGTTGTATTTGTACACATGCACATGTGTGCACTCACACAGTTAATGAGATGAGGGCAAAACATTGTGCACTCTTTCCCCGAATAGCTTCTAAGCTAGGTTTTAAATTTACTCATAGCACCATGTCTCATAGCTAGGAGAGGGAAGTCATCCTGCACATAGAAGGTAGGTTCCTGTAGTGCCAGCCTCCACTGCTTTGGGAGGAAGTATATTGTTCTTTAGTTAATATTTGTCCATTAGCTTTTAGAATATCTTTTATTTTTGGACATAATTGAAGGAAAAGATATTCTTATTTCTAGCACTGTAAGACATTGCCTAGTCTCTTTCATGGCAGTCATTCAAAGTTTTACTACTGACTCACAGATATCTCATTTTCTTTTTTTTAATTGATCTTATTTTTTAAATGCACGACAGCAGAATACATTACAATTCTTATTACCCATAAAGAGCACAATTTTTCATATCTCTGTTTGTATATAAAGTATGTTTACACCAATTCATATCTTCATACATGTCCTTTGGATAATGATGTCCATCACATTCCACCATCATTGCTAACCCCCTGCCCCCTCCCTTCCCCTCCCATCCGTCTGCCCTATCTAGAGTTCCTCTATTCCTCCCATGCTGTGATTTCTCATGTTCACTATGAAGTTAATAATCTGTTCTTATCTTATCACTCTGGTAGAATAGTTCTTAGACTATTTAGACTCCTTAGAATGTAATAAGTAGTCTTTAAGAACATTAGAGGATTCCTGTAAACAGGAAGGGGCAATATAAAGCAGAAAATAAAAAAAAGTATTAATTCTTCAAAGGATGAACAATTTCTCCCCTTTTACCCCTCTCCCCACTCCACTACAGAATCTTGCTGAATTGCCCAAAGAGGCCTTGAAATTGTGATCACCCCACATCAGTCTTCCAAGTAGCTAGGTGGTACAGATGTACACCACCACAACTGGCTTAGAAATAAAACCTTTATTTAGGGGTTATTACATGTAATGTCCTAGGCCAAATATGGTAAATACAGTAATTTATCTGTGAGCTGCTTATCAAGCTTATAAAGTAAATATTTTTCTATTTTCCAGATGAGGAATTTATGGCTCCGTGAGTCACATACTTCACATTGTCATAGTAGAGTCAAATTTTAGTTATCTTAGATATTTTAGTTTTTTTTTCTTATTTAGTTTTTAAATTTTGTTCTTTTTAGATATTCATGACAGTAGAGTGTGTTTTGACATATTTTGACATACACAGAATATAACTTATTCCAGTTAGGATCCCATTCTTGTGGTTGTACACAATGTGGAGTTAAGTTGGTCATGGATTCTTATGTGAACAAGGAAAGTTATGTCTGATTCATTCTATTGTCTTTTCTTATTCCCATACCCTCCCTTCCCTTGATTCCTTATTATCTAATCCATTGGGCTTCTATTCTCCCTCTCCCTACACTATCTTGTTATGTGTTAGCATCCACAATATCAGAGAGAACTCACCCTTTGGTTTTTGGTGACTGGCTTATTTCACTTAGCATGATATTCTCTAGTTCTATCCATTTCATGGCAAATGCCACAATCTCATTTTTCTTTATGGCTGAGTAATATTCCATTGTGAATGTCTACCACATTTTCTTTATCCATTCATCTGTTGTAGGGCACCTAAGTTGGTTCCATAGCTTGATATCTTGGTTTTGAAATTCTTTCTTTGAGACTTTTCTTTGCACAGTGATGTATAGAATATGTTGATAACATTAAAGTCATGAACACAATATTGCCTTAATTTTAAAGATTCAATTTCTAGGCCTGATGCCTTATATCATTAAGTTTATAATATCATCTTGTTTAATGTTCTTTAATATCATGTTATTGGTTGATGGACAATCTGGCATTTGAAACAGGGATAATATAGTGCATAATTGAACTGTGTTTTTACAATTTGTGTACTTTTAATTTATAGAAGCCCAAATCCCTCAGTTATGTTTTCACTTGTATCTGCTTTTAAGAATCAGTTTTTAGTGAGAAGAGAAACTTCTGATTCCAGTTAAGCTGGATGATTTGGCGATGAGCATGCTTTAAATTTGGGGGGAATTCCTTTAATGGTTTGTAGCATTATGGGACTAATATTTGATGCACTTGATTGACTGAGTTCTTTATTACTTCTCTTCTTACTTGGAATGATGCAACAAGTTAGAAGATACTACCCAATCCAAATAGATAATAAGGGCCTGGAAAATAGTATTAACATTTCTTGTGGCTTCTTGCTTTCCTCTAGGATGATTACTTTAATGGCTAATTCACCTGGAAACTCTGGAAGCCCTTTCATAGTTCCCTGCTTTTATTACTGTGACACTTTTGTCTTCTGCAGAAATTCTTGATTTGGGGATTCCCAACCAGTTTTTATAAGCTTGGGAAAAATGGAGAGTTAGTATTAACATTTAACCATGTTAAAAAATATTTATTTATTTATCTAACAGTATCACACCCAGGACCATTGTATGTGGTATGGTTCTTCATGGGCATTTCACTCTTAATAATCAGTTATGTACAATGTCAAAAATGGTGTGTACTTTGCCAAGGTTATTTCTTTGCTTTATAACCTTGAAGATAAGATCTTGGAGTTAGTTTAGTTAAATAGTTTTTAGTTGTGTTAAATATTCTTTTAACACACTCAATATAACCTTATTAGTGTTAGAAAAATAATGATTTTAATTGTTATCAACAGAGTTGGATGGGAACATCCCTTAATCTTTGAAAATTTAATGCAGTACTGGAGTTTAACCATTGGTCTGTCTTTATAATTTGTGAAATAAATCTGTCTTAACCATGAGGCATGCTTGTACAAGACTTTCCTGGTATTTCAGTAATTAAGCCCAGTGGGATGGAGTCCAATGTGGGCCTTTCTTAACATCTGTCTATTTGAGTGTTTGATGTTCAGGAGGGGTCTCGGAGCAGAGCAACTATATTAAACTATATATGAGTTCCTGGTTTATTAAATTGGTTATTTAAACTTAAAACCCTTATAACCTATTTTTCCTTGATCTTTGCATTC